TATATATATATATATATTATATATATATACATATACACACACACACACACACACACACACACACACACACACACACACATATATATATATATATATATATATATATATATTATATATATATATATATATATATATATATATATATATATATATATATATATATATATATGCATGTGTGTTTGTATCGCCACATATCCGCTTTGACCAAACACTCCATAAAAGAACACTAAGTCCTATTTTTTTCTCTTTGCAAGGAAAAAAAGATGTATTACATGATCACATACCCACACGTGGACTCTACGATATTACGTTAACACTTGGAATAAGAAATGCAGTACCCAAATAATGTAGTAAACAAATAGTCTGCCATTGTTTTCAGTACGTAAAAGAGCATCAGCAGAAAAGGGGTTCATATCGACCTGTGCGCTGATGAAACTGTCGCGAAACCAACGTCACGGCATGAATGGAGTATCGTTCACTCCCTTAAATATAGTGTTCATGAAACTAATAATACACTAACTCTTCATCCCAGTTTATGGAAAAGGATTTTCTTATAAACTACGTTGAACAAGGAAACATAATTTGTGCATAAAAGGACAATGGTAGAGTGAGAAGAATAGACTGCCATGACAGCCAAGTCAACAACGTGACAGATGATGCTACACTACACAAAGCTCTGTCACTTACAAATTTTCTGGTTGTATTTGTGTAAACTAACTGATATTCTCTAGTGGCCAAAAGCTCATTTGGGAATAATAGCATTCAGAATTATATCTGCTTTGCCTGTATAATGACTGCATTGCATCTACGCTAAACGAGGAATACAGTGGTGGTGAACCAGAATTGCCACACAACTTTTGTTATGACTTTTTTTTTATTACCATTGAAGTCTGCTTTTTGCCAGACGAAAGTCAGGTTGAAATAAAGGTAGCTGGAACAGTCTTCTTAACAACTAGTGTAAAAATATTCATGTGCATAGCTAAATCTGCCTGCCAGAATCTGACGTACCATTGTTAGCCAGAGAGTTAGTAATATACCTAGAAGATCATCAGAAACGAAGACTGAAATCAACGCTTAAGCAGTAATGAAGGAGGTGCAGTGTAGATGCGGGAAGGAAGGCGCAATAAAGATCGTACAAGTCCTAGATGAAGCTGAAGGGTGATGATGGCAGGGTGAGGGATGAGTCACGATGAGGGTGACAAGGGCGAAGGGTGGAACAAAGTGGAAGCTGTCAGCAGGGTGTTCATCAGTCAAAATGATTTTCTCGCGTGAGGACTGATAAGCACGCCATTACAGGTGATAACGAGGAAGTTATGCACGGAACAAGTCACTCTCATTAAGCGGAACGGTCTCATGAGTCAGGTAAGGGGCCCATGAGTCAAATGAGTCGACAAGAGTAGGAATATTTGCGGGAGGGACAGTTGCTTGAGGTGCAATATATATGTGTGAAGAAGTAGCCGCAGTGAGCGTGATGAGGAGCAAATATGTTCACAAAGCGGATGAGTATGACGAAAGCAGTGAACATCAAGGCTCGGCGCAATCGAAAACGTTTGCAGGGAAGGAACACACGCATATGGGACGCCGTGGTAGTGAGAGGAACAGCGTGGAAGCAACAAAGGAGTCAGACACCAAAGGTTGAGAGATTTGTACTAGGTAACGTGCTAAGACTGTGTGGTCAAGGAACCGACAGGAATTTAGGGGAAAGGAGACACGTGAAGGGAGCAGAGATTAGAGGAATCAGCTAAATAGGGGAAAGATTCTGATGATATGTATCGAATGAGGAAGTGCAAAGAGGGCTGATGAAAACTCGCGAAAATGAGGCGACGCTGAGTGCACAGACGCATGAATGTGAAGGGAAGGAGGTGAAAGGAGGGGCGAGGGAGGTTAGTAAGATCAGAGAGTGAGGAGAGCCAGGTGCGCAGGGAGGGGAGAGAGGGATCGGTACAGGAAACTGAGAGACAGGTTAGAGGGGAATTATGTATCATATGAAAATACTTTGGTGACCGTCATGGTGAGGTGTTGGGGCGGCGTAGAGACTGGCTCAGCCTGGAAGAGAGAGAGAATATATTAGCTGATGAATGGAAAAAAACACACTACCGTGTTGATACTATGGTAGTAAAACCCACAATGCACGAACTAGATTTATTGCAGAAAGTGAGACAACAGTTTCGGAATCGAGGACGATTCCGAAACTGTTGTCTCACTTTCTGCAATAAATCTAGTACATTTGGGTTTTACTACCATATTAGCTGATGTTAAATCTATGTTGTAATTACCGAAGCAAACTATTTAATCATGACTATGAAGATGTGATATAGATGTGTATTTAATGCTTTTTATCTATTATATCAATTTGTAAATTGCTGTGCTAGCGTCCTGTTTTCACTATGATATTGCAGGTTACGCACATGAAAGCAAAGTACATTTAGCAGGGAACCGAAAATAACAAAATCAGAACCACGCACACACGCACTCACTCCAAAACACATATATAATGTAATGTGGTACAATAAATCCTTGTAATTACATAGATTCACCCTATTTATTACTCATGTGGGTCGCCATGTAAACTGGTAATTCAGATGGCAGATAATCTCAAAGAGAAACATTATAAAGAAGACTGTTTTAGACTTTAAGACACTACTACCGCAGAGGAGAGGGAATTTGTGGGCGGAAATTATCACCACACTGAAACTAATAATGTTCATTGGAGGCGTTTTGACATGATACCTAACGAAAGCGATCGAAATATCGTGCGTTTAATGAAGAAACACCCGAGTCCAGTGACTTCTTAGAAAAGTCAGATGGACCAGACAAATAAATTAATGAAGAAAGTAATGGTATCTTAGGTATAAGCTTGTTTCAAAGGCCATTAGGAAACATGGATTCCGTTATGTATAGAGCTACGATAGACAATAAGTCCTGCAACTGATATTGGAGATAGAAATAAAGGATAAACAAATAGCCTCATGAAATAAAGATTTTTATGACTGGACGCTGGCATGGGTGTCAAAGAAATCTCGGTGCATTTTGCCAGAAGTGATAGTGCCAAAGGTCAGAAACTGAAACCCTTAATGGATAACAGACTTGGAGTTTATACCGTAGGGGGGATCATTTAACACTGGGAAGGTAGAGTACAGAAAATGGAACACGTTTGAAGAGGATGTTGAGAAGTAATTGAAGAGATATCCAGTTCTATCATTAGATAAGTGAAACCACGAAAGTGAACATCATAAAATAGAGAAGCCCTACTCATGAATAAACTTTAAATATTTCATTGTTATTTAAAATTGATTATGAAACTATTTAAATGCTAGCATCAGTTGTCATACAAAGATTGCCTTAAGAATGGTGTGGTAAGAGAAAACTGTATAGTTTTCAAGGTGATCATTGGTGCTAATATTTCCAAAAGTTTCTCAGATATCTACTAAGAGTAATTTTGAAACTGTGTGGTTATGGGAAATAAAGTGGGTGAGAATTTTCTTGAAAGTGGTATATCTGACCACACCCATTCATCTATACACACACACATAAACACGCACACACGCACAAACACACATACACACACATAAACACGCTTGTACACACACATAGACACACACACAGAATTAGAGAGAGAGAGAGAGAGAGAGAGAGAGAGAGAGAGAGAGAGAGAGAGAGAGAGAGAGAGAGAGAGAGAGAGAGAGAGAGAGAGAGAGAGAGAGAGAACAACACCGCAAGCACAGCAATTTATCGAGGGAGACCCTGAAGGACTCCTGAATCCCCACCCCCACCCCCACCCCATCCCCCGCTCCCTCACCTCTAAGTCTGACGTGATGTCTTGAAAAGCTGCCGTGGCTTGACTTGCTTCAGAATTTCTTCCCAAAACACTGCTCGAATCTTCTCTATTGATGCAGCTCGACATGATGCTTGAGGTACAGAACTGACTATGGTATTGAATGTACATCAGCCGCAGGGAAGTGCTGCATGTGCACAACTGCCCACGGTAATGTAATTCCTTCTTGTACACTGCTCGCCGTAGTGCACTTGAACGCGCACGGGCCTGACCAGAGCACTTATTCGCACTGTAACTATCATTGTGCTGATGTACAAAGGTTGCAAGTTACTATGCAAAGGTGCACATACAAAACCTGCCAATTTTCAGTGACGTACATACATAGCTACTTACATCACAGAGAAGCACATACAGGGCTGTGTACATTATTGGATGTATACGGCCATGTACATTACAGTGGGATAAATATGACTGGATACAAATCAGTGATACACCCATACTATGTACAGGGTACTGTACCCATACAGATAGCTACCATACAACAATATATGTGCACGGCTGGGTACATCATGGTATTGTACATAGCTGTGGACATCATGTTGGCACACGTACACAGCGTATGTACATCATGATGGTGCATGTATACAGCTGTCTACGTCTTTGTATAGTGCATACACAACTGCTAACACCATGATTGTGCTTGTACATAGCGGAGTACGTGGTGATGGTGCACAAACACATCTGGCAACACTGTAATGGTGCACGAGTGTGTCACTGGTACAGTGGTTCAGCCAATCAGCCGGAACTCATGACTATGTTTCACCAGCAAATATGAGCCACAGCCAGCTGAGAGAACTAGTGTAGAACATGTTCTGTGCAAAAAAGGCTAAACAATAACAACAACAACAACATCAACAACAATAGCTTATGCTCAGGAATGAATGTCACGGGCTTCGGCTTCGCCCCTTCCTAGGTTCGTCAAAATTTCTGCCGCGATGGCCTTTTCTTCGCCTCGCGGTCATGGGTAGCGCTGCCGCCTCCAGTTGGATTTTTCGAGAGAGAAAATAAAAACAAAAAGTAAAAGAAAAACTGCAACTATCGTGTTGTTACCATCAAAAGTTTCTGATATTTCCGGTTGAATGTGCCCTTTTTCACAACTTTCATAATTTTCTTTGGGGTTGAATTTGCGAGAGAACTTGTGGCTGAGGATGATCTCGAGCGACGGGGTTCGGGGTGACTGGACGAGACGCCTTCGGGAGCGCCGGTGGAGCCTCCTGCGGGAACGGGAGAAGACTCACTCCTCGAGCCTCTTACAGGTACCTGGTAGGGCAATCCTTGATCCATGCCCTCCCCTCCCCCTGCAGGTACCTGAGAGGACTCACCCCCCTCTTTGATATCAACGTTTCTTTTCCTCTTTTTTTTTTTAAGAATGGGGGTTTGGGAGAGAGAGAGAGAGTCTGTGTCTTGGTGCAAAGGGAGACGCGTTTGGGCTTAGGCTTCCTGGAGGTACTTCAGAGGACACACGCCTTGCTGGTTGTCACCGTTGCGGATCATGACCATGCCTTCCACTTCCTCCCCGATCTGGATGACGATCTGGGGGCGGGGAGAGAACGCGTTAGTCATTCAGGTTTTTAATGCAGACACTCTAGCACGTTTAAAACACGTTTCCGTCGTTAAAAGTTTGACTTGTATGTATCATTATTTTTTTTAGTAATATGTAAAGCATAATGGTCACCGTTGTAAAACTAGAAAGCTAAGGATATTTTCACACTTATTATTAATTTATTAAATTCCGGATACAAGATTCCGCTAGAAATAAATGCAATGTGATTCTAAAAGAATGACTGTTATAACAACATGAAATAAATCATGATACGAAACTACAAATAATCTACTAACTATATTGAGAGAGAGAGAGAGAGAGAGAGAGAGAGAGAGAGAGAGAGAGAGAGAGAGAGAGAGAGAGAGAGAGAGAGAGAGAGAGAGAGAGAGAGAGAGAGAGAGTGAGTGAGTGAGTGAGTGACAGTGAGAGATCAAGAGAGAGAGGGAGCAAGAGAGAGAGAGCAAGGTATATATATATATATATATATATATATATATATATATATATATATATATATATATATATATATATATATATATATATATATATATATATATATATATAGAGAGAGAGAGAGAGAGAGAGAGAGAGAGAGAGAGAGAGAGAGAGAGAAGAGAGAGAAGAGAGAGAGAGAGAGAGAGAGAGAGAGAGAGAGAGAGAGAAGAGAGAGAGAGAGAGAGAGAGAGAAGAGAGAGAAGCTGTGATATACTGAGTGACAAAAACATTTCTGTAGAAAGGGATAAAGACCGTGCTTTTACCATATCGCGAATGAAAATGCTTGTAATGACACCCGTGTGAATATATATATGCACACACACACACACACACACACACAACACACACACACACACACAAATCATACATACTTACACAAGACCAACAAACACATAATCACAAAACCCCAAAGGGCATCAGACACAACACCCAACCCTTTCCCGACCGAGAGAGGACCCGCCATTGTCGCAGCTGTTTCCACTCCTTAATTCAGTTACCGATATGAATCAGTTTAGGCGGCAATCTACTGACATTACACTTAGAGGTGAAACTCCGCGCTAATAGAATGAGCCACGCGTTCCAAAAGGTGTGCATGGAGTAAATGAGTGTTAATGAGAAGAGAACACAATAAGTAATGAAAAAAAGCAATAAAGGTGAATATATGTTATATGTTGGGACGGAGGAGATCTTTGGGAACTTTGTTGTGGATGCATTGCTATGGCGATGAGTGGCTTAGAGAGAGAGAGAGAGAGAGAGAGAGAGAGAGAGAGAGAGAGAGAGAGAGAGAGAGAGAGAGAGAGAGAGAGAGAGAGAGAGAGAGAGAGAGAGAGAGAGAGACAGAGAGAGAGAGAGAGAGAGAGGCAGAAAGGAGAGAGAGAGGGGAGAGAGAGAGAGAGAGAGAGAGAGAGAGAGAGAGAGAGAGAGAGAGAGAGAGAGAGAGAGAGAGAGAGAGAGAGAGAGAGAGAGAGAGAGAGAGAGAGAGAGAGAGAGAGAGAGAGAGAGAGAGAAGAGAGGGAGAGAGAGAGAGAGAGAGAGAGAGAGAGAGAGAGAGAGAGAGAGAGAGAGAGAGAGAGAGAGAGAAGAGAGAGAGAGAGAGAGAGAAGAGAGAGAGAGAGAGAGAGAGAGAGAGAGAGAGAGAGAGAGAGAGAGAGAGAGAGAGAGAGAGAGAGAGAGAGAGAGAGAGAGAGAGAGAGAGAGAGAGAGAGAGAGAGAGAGAGAGAGAGAGAGAGAGAGAGAGAGAGAGAGAGAGAGAGAGAGAGAGAGAGAGAGAGAGAGAGAGAGAGAGAGAGAGAGAGAGAGAGAGAGAGAGAGAGAGAGAGAGAGAGAGAGAGAGAGAGAGAGAGACAGAGAGAGAGAGAGAGAGAGACAGACAGTCAGGCAGACCGACAGACATACACCCCTCACCTCCTCCTCCTCCATTCTCACCTGGTCTCTCAGAAGCTTGATGCCGTTGTCTCCGTCGGTGACCTGTAAGTTGTGTGTGACCTGCAGTGGCTTCTCCCCGCAGTTGAGGCGCGTCACGTACTTGGAAGGGAAGTATCCGGTCCTTCCCAGACACTTTCCCTGCCACCAGTCGGGGTCAGACGTGTCCGTTACGGTCACTTTGTAGCCGGCTCTGTCGAAAGGGGTACGCGAGTCAGTTTTTTTTTCGCGATTCGTTTCTGTCTTTGTGTTGGTTTGCGGTTTGAGGCAAGGTAGGGTGTAGATTTGTAGCTCAATGGAAGTAAAGTTGGAAAAAAAGAGTTATTTCTTTGCAGTTTGTGGCAAGTTATGGTGTACACTTGCAGCTCAAAAGTAAAGTTGGAAAATATATATATATATATTTTGCGGTTTGTGATAAGTTATGGTGTAGATTTGTAGCTTAATGGAAGTAAAGTTGGAAAAAAAGTTTATTTCTTTGCAGTTTGTGGCAAGTTATGGTGTAAACTCATAGCTCAATAAAAGTAAAATTGGATTTTTTTGTAGTTTGTGGCAAGTTAGTGTGTAAACTTGAAGCCCAATAAGGTAAAGTTGGAAAAGAGTTATTTCTTTGCGATTTGTGGCAAATTATGATGTAAAATTACTCGTATAGCTCAATGAAAGTAAAGCTGGAAAAAGAGTTATTTCTTTGCGGTTTGAGGCAAGTTATGGTGTAAACTTGTAGCTCAATAAAATTAAAATTGGAAAAAAGAGTTCTAAATACTATGAATTCAAATTAATTTCCATAAGTATTTTGTATCACAACCTACATATTACCACCGAGAATACGGTCAATACCAGTGCCATTTGTGATACATGGCACTCTTCTTTCATCCACCAAAAGCCACGTAAAGCAAACTCAATACCAGTGCCATTCAAGTGATGCATGGCACTCTTCTTTCATCCACCAAAAGCCACGTAAAGCAAACTCACCTTAGATCGAGCTCATCGGGATGTCTGGACGTAAAGTTGTACAGGACGACATACAGGTTAGTGGGCAGAAGACGGTGAGGTTTCTGAAATATACATTCACGTAAGCATAAACGTGTATACATTTTTTTAGGAAGCTTGTACAGTATGCGTGTGTATTTGTGTGGGTGTGAACAGCGCGTTTGTATACCTATGTAATTTGTACAGGTATTTAAATGTATCTGAAATGTATGCGTATTTATGTCATTATGCAAAATCCGTGTGTATATTCATCGAATATCCTACTCCTGTATGTATGTTATGTATAGGACGTATGTATGTTTCCTTTCATTACAACAGTCTATTTTTTATCTTAGTCTAATGCAAGGATTCCCAACCTGGCGAGAGAGAGAGAAAGAGAGAGAGAGAGAGAGAGAGAGAGAGAGAGAGAGAGAGAGAGAGAGAGAGAGAGAGAGAGAGAGAGAGAGAGAGAGAGAGAGAGAGAGAGAGAGAGAGAGAGAGAAATATGTATATTGTCGCATAACCCTCTCCTTCTGGCGCCCTATGAGGGGGTGTTCTTCCCAGGTAGACAGGTCACGCACACAGACAGGTTCACCAGTACTGAGTGCCTTACACATCTCACTCTACATGTCAGGATGCTGCACTCATTTACTGACTGTCCTACTGGGTTCGGTGAGCAGCCTCTGACGAGTGTTCACGCTCACTGGGCAATGAATAGCGTTAGCGGGGATGTTTAAAGGCAGGCAGGTAGCATTCCACAGTTTATTTGTACTGATGTCACTCACATCGTAGAAATACGGTCACTTCATGTACACAAAATGCTTCGGCACAATATATCCACCTTAACACAACAGGATAATCACAGGCACTCTTCCTTCAGTGTATAATACAATCCAGGTTGCAGCTACAGCCAGAACGTGCTTGCTCTCCAAAATCTCCACTCGCACAGCCCGCCACTCCCAGGTCCCTTGCGTGGGTTGTGAAGCCACACCTGATCCCCAGGGGATCCTGGCCCGTCCGTTATACCGCCGCCACATCGCCTGGTCTGCTATCTTGAGGTGCTGGCTTGCTCGGTGCCTGGTCTCCTCTATGCGACGCTGCAGGGTTCTTACGTACTCGGTGTGCGGTACAGGCAATCCTTTGTCCAGCGGCTTTCCTGTTGCGAGGTCGACTGGGAAGCCGATCTCATGGCCGAACATCAGGCGAGAGGGCATGAACCCTGTGGCCTCGTGTTCCGCTGCCCGGTACGCCATTAGCATATATGGGACCCACTCATCCCAGTCATGCTGGTTCTCCTTGCAATATATGGCTTGTTGGGTGACAAATTTGGCATGGAACCTCTCCCCCATACCATCACTTTGGGGTCACGGGTGTGGTGCGGGTCTTGTGGATCCTAAGGAGACCACAACACTCCCTAAATACCCGAAACTCTAACTCTCGGCCCTGGTCGGAATGTAACTCACCTGGGACCCCAAAGCGGGAGAAGACTTGGGTCACCAGGAATTATGGGACTGTTTTTGCTTCATGGCTGGGAAAAGCACCAGCCTCTAGCCACTTGGAGAAGTAATCAATGGCTACACAGATATACTTGTTTCCCCTCCAGTACAAGGGAAGGGACCAGCTAAGTCCACGGCCATGCGCTCCATGAGTGCCCCAGTTGCCGGGGTGCACGGTCTTCTGTGCAGGCCCCTTCTTTGCTGCGCACCACTCCTGGATATCCTGTCGCAGGCCAACCCAGTACACGCGCCGCCGCAGCTTCTGCATTGATTACAATCAGGCGGGCAAAGGCGGTGACTGAGGCTATCAGCATTGCTATGAGCACGTCCAGCACGATGCACCACCTGGAAATTGTACTGTTCCAACTTCCCAAGCCATCTTGCCAACTGGTCCTCTGGCTCTTTCAAAGTCTTTAACCATCTCAGGGGAGCGTGGTCTGTGCAAATGGTAAACTGTGCCCCATATAGGTAGTGGTGGAAGTGGGAGAGTCCCTTCATCACAGCTGCTGCTCCTTGCAAGTAATGCAATAATTTCTCCCAGGCTTGGTAAACTTGGAACTGTAGCAGGCTACCACATACTCTTGGCCATCTTTGGGCTGTGACAAGATCGCACCAATGCCTTCCTGACTGGCATCTGTTTCTAGGATGTATAAAGGCTTGCTGGCATGCTATAAAGGCTTGTTGGCATGCCTCGTCCCACAGAAAGCTCGCTCCTTTCCTTGTCAGCTGATGCAATGGTGTGGCTCTGGTGGTAAAGCCTTGCACAAATCTCCTGTAACATGTGCACAGTCCCAAGAAGTTTCTGTTACAGTCCTTGGCACTGGCCAGCCCTCCACTGCCGACACTTTCAGCGGGTCCGTCTGTACCCCTTGTCAGCCCACCACATGTCCCTGGAATGGTACTTCTTTATGGAAAAGGGTGCATTTCTTGGGGCTGAGTTTTAAGTTGGCGGCTTTGAAACGATGCAGCACCTCTGCCAGGTGCTCCAAGTCCTCCTCGAAGGTGTTCCCAAACAACAACACGTCTAAATATACCAAGGCCACCTTCCATTGCAGCCCCTCTAGTACTTGTTCCAGTAGGTGTTAAAAACATCCACGGGCGTTGCACAGACGGAAGGGCATGACATTAAAGTGCCACAGCCCCTGACCAAAAGAGAAAGCATTCTCTTTATCCACCTCTGCCACTTCCACTTGGTGGTACCTAGACTTAAGGTCCAATGTGGAAAACCATTGAACCTTGGAGAGTGCGTCCAGTGTGTCATCAATGCGAGGCAAGGGGAAGGCATCGGTGGCGGTGACGGGGTTCAGAGCTCGATAGTCCACGCAAAAGCGTTTGCTCCCGTCCTTCTTTGTCACTAGTACCACTGGTGAGTACCAAGGACTGTTTGAACGCTCTATGATGCCGGCCTCTGCCATCTCCTGTACCACACTCTTCTCTCTCTCTTTGCGGGGGGTACTCGACGTTGCGGCTGCTTGATGGGAGGGCTAAACACATCTGCATACTGGTTAAGCAACCGCCGCACTCATCTTACCTGCTCACTAGTTAGATGCTTGACACTCAGCTGCACCAGGTCCTCCAGATGGCTCAGTCCTGTTTCCTTGTGACTTCGGGGTGTCTTGTGTTGTAACACGGGATGAAGTGGTAGTGGGATATGTGAGTCTGGTAACTGCGCACAAGGCCTTATCCCGAGTGTGTTGTTTGCTCACATTCTCCTGTTTCCTCTCTTGCTTCGGCTTTACCGTGACACTGGGTATGTTTCTGCCAGGATTAGAGGCACCTCACGGCCCTCTTACTGCCACTCATTTTACTGGACTGTCCTACTGGGTTCGGTGAGTTGCAGACATACCGCCAGAGACGTGTTGCTCTCCAAGAGATCTCTCGCACAGCCCACTACTCCCCTCTGGAGCCAATTCACAGCGCCGGAATCTCGTTCCATTTGGTGGCAGCCAATCACGCCAAACGCGGGGGCGTGTTTTGGCGGGCTTTTTCGGCGCCCCAAACATATACATATTTTGGCGGACTTTTTGTCGCCACTAACACAAACACACATATTGTTATAATATACATTTTTGTAACAATAAATAAATAAATAAATATATATATATATATATATATATATATATATATAATATATATATATATATATAGAAGAGCGAGAGAGAGAGAGAGAGAAGCAGAGAGAAGAGAGAGGAGAGAGAGAGAGAGAGTTTTGTGCTTTCACAGATATCCAGAAAATAGTTGGTTAGTCATCAGCTTAAAAAGGTTGGGAATCCCTGGTCTTATGATAGATTTTGAAGTTAAACAGGAGTTCCTGTATCACATACGTATAGAGATGGGATAAGTATTTATGACTGTATCAAATCACGCAAAAAAGAAAGAAAGAAAGAAAAAAGAAATTTAGGGAAATCGAAATCATTTTTCTCGTCACTGGATATCTATCGTTCATGCAATAGAAGATTCAGGATTGATAATGAGTCTATCGAGAGAGTAAACCAAACCTATATCTCTGCATTAGTGAACGAAAGTGGATATTTATTTCAGGTGTTTCTGCTGTACCCTACCGCAGTCTAACTTAACCAGGTTAGGAAGGGCGAGGCCATACTCACTTTACTGACGGGAGAAGGGCACGGTGAGGTGCTGGCGGAACTGAGTGATTTTTCGTTGTCGTCCGGAAGCTCAACTGAGCTCATCCTCACATTTCGGGCGGAGAGGAGGCGGCGGTTGTGCACGGGGCTGGATGGCG